TTCAGTTTTGCCTTTTGCAGTTTTGGTGTGTGTTTTTGAATTTTTTACCACTACTTTGACCCCTGTAGATGAACCATCACTAAATTTGTCATGAAGGTTTGTTGGGTCCATGGGGAGATACATACAAATTTTCAATTTTGCATTATTCATTTATGCCAGCTCTGCAATCAACATGCTAAAAACTGGTTTTTGATGGATTCTGTCTGTTACTTTGTTGTCAGATTTGTACGAAAACATACTAAGAGATAGAAAAAGTTATAATTTTCCTATACTGAAAATGTATTTCTGATAGCCACTTACATCTACTCAGATAAATAGCTATTTTTGTTAGTGCTGCCCTCTATATGCAAAAAGTTTTTTATGCATGCCACAAGCCTTTATTCTCCCCTCAGTTGTAATTTGCTGGTTCCAATGTGTCTCTCATGCAAATCAACATATGACAACCCTCCACCAATAAGAGTGCAACATACTCTCTTGACACACGTGACTCCCTCTATTCAATTCTACTGAACTACCACTTTGAGTTTTGGCAGAAAATGGGAGCACTGGAGGAAGGGTGGGAAGTGTGAGTATAGGTAAGTACCTATCAAAAATACATTTTCAGTGTAGAAAAATTATAACTTCTGATGAGGTACATTATCTCCGCTTACATAAATAGCTAGAATCCCACATTAAATAGGTAGAGGGACTGGTGCAAGGGAAAGAAAGGAGCATCCTTCAAAAGCATCCAAAGGACACTCCCTAAGATGAGACAGTCAGATTCATAGATTTGATGTTGGAGACCAGACCACTTCAGAACCAGGTATACTCTTCACCCATCTTAAGGGGTGTTGCAAAATAAATCACACTTTTTTCCCTGAAGCAATGATGAACTTGGTAGGACCGTGAATATCATCTATTGTGAGAAAATGTCATTTCAATGTACTCTTTTCATTTTCTGTGAAAAATTTTGAATCATGGTGCTCATTAGAACTCAGGGTAATGTCGCATGTACTGCCTTCGGGATGGCTCATAAACTACTCACAGATATGCTCCAAGAATTCACGTCTTCCAATTGACACATCTCAATGCTAGATTTAAAAATCAAATGCTTCAAAAGTTTCAGAATTGTTTAATTTGAAAGAGTGGTCTGTGAAAAAGTGGTAGGATGTGGATTGGGAACTCTCCAAATTTAAATCCCACCAAAAATGTCAGAGCTTTTGTTCAACCTTTCACAGGAGAAATGTTGGAAACTTTGCCTGAATGCGAGAGACACAAACATGAAACCTTGAATTATGTTCTCACTAATGTGCTCACAGAGACAGCCAAAAAAACAGAGATGTTTGTTGCATTGCTGAAATCTTTTGCAAATCAATTAAAACTAATGCATGAGAACAATGGTGGCCCAATCAAGCGATATTGATATTTGGAATTACTTTTTTGAATGAATTAAAATCTTATTTTACTTTGTTATGCTCTCAGGGAAAAAAAGTGTGATTTATTTTGCAACAGCCCTTAGAAAGATGTCTCATATATGGGCAGAAAAACAGAGGAGCACATCCAAATGGGAGAGAATTATGGCTGGATAGTGATCCAAACCATGCAATATTCAGGAAACTCAATCCCATAAAATATAAAAATGGATAAAAGAAATGGATGTACCCTAGGTGTAGAGTGACTAGGGCATGATGGGCCGTACATGGCAAGTCAACTACATCAAAACTCATGCTGTTGAGAACTGACATCCATGTGGGGATAGGAAAGGGGATCATACCGATGGCAAGTCAACTACAATCCAAAACCCAGCCATGTGGTAGGGGTAGGAAAGAGGATCATATTGTCTTTACCTCAAGTTCAAGAGACCAGAGGTAATCTCGACCCCCCTCCCGACTCCTGAACAGTAAGATATATAATATAATACAAAGTGATATATTGAACTGGGAGCCTGACATCCAGTATCAAAAACATGACCACATAATATAAATCAACTTCCTCAATAGTAAAACTGACCAGAACCAACCCAAGCACAATAACATCCTCAAAATAAGATACATTGAGAATAGGGAAATGGAAAGAGCTGTAACGATCATATGTACCTCCACTATGACCAACAACACTGGTGAAGTATAACTGAGGGAGGAATATAGACATCCTTAATATGTGCGTGAAGAGACTCCTCTTTTCTTCTGTTGGAGTTGGAGAGTCCTCATCACTTTTCAGTTCCAAGCTGCTGGGGTGATGGACTGTGAAAGCATCCTCCTGAATGTGATAATAAAATACAAACAAAATATAGAAATTATTATAAAACCATTCAGTTGAGAATAGAGTGGTGGAGTTCTACTGATGTAGATGACATGATATCCTCCAATATGAAACATAAAAAAAAGACACGGGAGTGAAATGTCAAAATTGCAATTTACCCCTTTGATTGGGATTCCTCATCCTGCCCCACACATGGATTTTGGTTCCCAGTGGCTAAGGTTTGGATTTAGAGTAGAACCAATCAATATAAAACAGTGCAATGGGTGGGTGACCACAATCCCTATTTTGAAATGCAGACCATACTGATTTATTCAATATAAGGCATAGCAGGGATGGGCAGCTGTCCCCCTTCTGCTTTACCCATGTAATCCATGGGTGAGTACGGTCTGGGATGGGCAAATTTATGAAGCAATTCTATCGCAAGAATAAACCTACAAGAGATCTTGTGGAACACCCCATCTGTGCAGTGTGCATTGCATGGCCATGGAATTATAATATGTGCAAGTCAAGATGGCTTGATAGTGAGGATTTGAGCATTTAAAGAATATGTGGTTAGTCACCACTCACTGCAGAGTGGGATCCAGTAACAAAATGAGGGACATGCCCCTGAAAAAGAAAAGGTAACTTACACAGTCACAGTCTCATGAAAGAGTGAAGGATGGCAACAGGTGAATGACAGTGCTCCAACAAAAAAGAAACAGCTACCGAAGCAGAGAATAGGATATGAACATATCAGGTGTAGTAGTCCCAATGCTCAACAGATAAAGTACCTCCAACTAATGGCAGGGTAGACATGCAGGAAAAAAGGAAGGTGCATGATAGGAGTGGACACCAGGAAGTGAAGATGGGAAGAAGTATATATGAAAGAAAAGGCCAATTGAATAACAATCTAAACAAAATAGGTAAGGGTGGAAAGGAAAAATCACAGACGAAGAAGTGGAGTAAGGGGGAGGAAATGTGTCAAAAAAACAACTTAGATAGGCCTGGCACATTCTGCAGTAGAGGCCTGGAAGACACTCCATGAGAAGGTGGAGGTAACTAACAAAATCTAAGTCATCTGAAAATGGTTTCTGCCGTTATAGGAGGAATACGAGCAAAATTGGGCACAGGTAGGCCCTCACAACCAAAATAGAGAAGTATAAATTAAACAAAATTAAAGAGAAGAACTATAAATCAAATGAACTTAATGGTAAGAAGTATAAACTATGAAGAAATACAAAAATGAAATAGTCGACACAGTGGAAATGTTAAGAAACTGTATAGTGAAATAAATATATGGATGTGATGTTCTGCATTGGAGAAAAGATAAAAAAACTAAATATTGATAAACCAGTAAAAATAATCACGAGTAAACTGAAAATAACTGATTCTCATTTAGCCTAAACGAATACGATATTTTACCCAATTATTGATTAACATAGAAGTAGAACTACCGATAAACCGAAAATAAACATTTGTGAAACCTAAATGAACAATACATAACAAAAAATATCACTAAGCCCAAAAAGAAAAACTTCAACTGTATGTACAATATTGGGATAAGTTTGTGTGGACCCTGGCTCAAGAGTTCCACACAAACCAAGTGAATAGGAAGAAAAACAATATATCGAAATTAATGATAGATATACCAGTAAGCATTGTCTGTAAAAGAAACCTAAAGAAAACAAGTCATGTAGGCTTAGATCTGGAGAATACGGTAAACATGACCATATGAGAAAAAATCACATTGGCTGAGATCTGAAGAATATGGTAAACATGATCAAAATAAAAAAAAAAAAAAACTCGCATGAGCTGAGATTTGGAGAATATGGTAGACATGACCATGAAAAAAAAAACCTGGAGAATATAGTAGACATGGCTATGGATACCCTTTTATTATAACTACCATATAACTGTTGCTATTATCTGAGTATACCAACAATGTTTTACAATTATTGTCATAAAAAACAGCAACACTTGCATTATTACAGCAAGTCATTAATATTACTACTGATAGTACAGAAATATTTTCACTATAGAAATGCTTATAAATTACTAAACACTAAATTTAGCATGAAAATTAGTATTAACATTAGGTTTTCCTTATTTTTATACAGAAGAATTATTATTATATTAATAAAAGAAAAAAAAAAGTACACTAAAGGAATATGACAGAATAGTAAGTCTATAATGATAATGTTGTGTTAACACAGAAGCAAAATAAAGTATGCCTTGAATAACTTTTTTTAATTCTCTTCTCCATGTTTCACTATGAGCAGTTTAAACATATATAACAGATATTATAACCTTTCACATGAAATAAATTATTCAGGTGGTCAATGTCAAATAATTCTACTATATATATATAACTTCTAGCACAAAAAGATAGCTTTAAAATGTTGGCTTGTTTGAATAAAACGAAACATAGAATTCTTGAATTGTGACTGTTTTCTGGTAAGATATTTTTTTTGACATTTTAAACTTATTTTCAATTAAAGAAAAATACTTAAGTTTCTGTTATTCAGAAAAAACAGTTAAATGTTTATATACTTACAACAAAATAAATGAAAAATAGGAGAGAAAAAATGTTAAATTTCTTACCTTTTGGTACAACAGGAAAACTGAAACCAATGACATAGATTCCTCTTTCTGGAAAACAAAACAAACACTTCCTTATATCAAACAAGTCTACAACATAAAGTAGTGTGTAGTAAGTACACATTAAAAGCCGTGTGACAATACTGTAAGTATATGTAAGGAGTCTTAAAGTGTGATCTAATTTTGATGATGCAGTTTTAACTGTATAGATTACCTAATTCTTGAAAATCCCTAAGGGACTGGATAAAGAATGCAGTGTTAGAAAATACAACAGGACTAACATTAATGTCATATGAGAAGTATAATTAATTATAATCATGCTTTGAAAGCTTTAAAATAGCATTCACACCATAACAACTGTTACTATAACAAATGGCTTATACAAATAGTGTTCCAACCACTAATGTATTTGTTGTATCCTAGTGGGCCTGAAGAGCAACACTCGTCATCGGTAATAGATATGGTAAATATTGTATGGTTGGAATACTACTATTATCATATACTCTTCTACATCTTGAAAATCCCTAAGAGACTAGATAAAGAATGTAGTATTTAAAAATATTATAGGCCTAATAATAATAATGTCTTATGATAAGTATAAATGATTTTCTGCTTTATATGTCAAACTATACACCATTTTTTTACTTTAAAGTGTTTCTTTGCTTACTAGCATGTTTTATTAATATTTTAAATTAAAATGATTTTCTGTTTCAGAAAATCTTGTTTTGTTTAGCATTTTATGATATCATTCACCATGTATTTTTAAGCTACTATAAAGATTCCACAGTTTATGAAATGAACTTGAAATAAATCCTTTTCTTTTTTTCCATATAAAGTTTTGTTATTTACAAGAAAAGAAATATAAAGACCATTTACCAAATGTGTGTCTATGTGAACAACAACACAGTTAAAACACTTATATGAACGAACTAGTAATAACTAAAATAAATATAGTGAAATAACAGCAAACACATTAATGTACGTACAGTATTAGATCTAAATGTTAACAAGTCCAGAAAACCACTAAGCACTATTCAATTATGTGATGTAAAGGTATAGGATTAAGTTAAAAATAAAAAGCACATACAATCATTCTGCAGTTTTGTTTTAATAGATAGTAGACTTAACAAGAATAAGTTAGGGGCGTCAAGGTCCAAAGATCATGACAGAAGGGAAATAACATTGAAGTGGGGATATTTTATGATATAAATATAATACTGCAACTTCAGTGTTGAACTAATACATTTTGATGGTATATTTTTAAATATATTACCATAACTATTTTTGAAGGGTGATGAAAAATTCTTTTTTTTGGACTCATTATTATATTATGGTACAAAATATTTTTGAAGAACCTATGTTTTAAGTTTTATAATGGGCTGCTCATTTGGAAAACTCATTTTACACTTTCTATATAAGGATACCTTAAGTTGCTAGAACATACTTCTATCAGTGATTTGTAGGTTTAAATTTGCACTGATAATCATGCAAATAAAATGTTTGCAAATGCGTATTATTCAAGATAGTAGGGGAAAGTATATTTCTATAAGTCTTGCTTGTCTGTTTCTTTTAGAATTTCATGCAAAACTATTCAAGGGCTATCTGTGCTAACTGTCTCTAATTAAAAAGTTATAGACTAGAGGAAAGGTGGTTAGTCAACACTATCTGTAGCCAATGAATGAAAGTGGGATTGATAGTTACCTTATAATGTCCCCAAGGCTGAAAGGATGAACTTGTTTGATAGAAGATTTGAACTCACAATCCATAGATTGCAAGTCAAGTGCCCTAACCATAAATTACTTAATTACTGAACATACATCAAGTATAGCCAATCATGAAAATAAATGTTTTGTATTTATTTGAATAAAGATGATTTCACCCTCTTGCTATGGGTAGGTCAATGTGAGCATGTGATGACTTTTTTTTTAGAGAGTTAAATTCAAAACTTAATTAAACTATTTTATTTTCCTTGTATACAATTAAACTTGGCATCAAAACATACTTATTAAAATCAAATTTTAATATTACAGAAGTTTTAATTTAATTTAATAGGGAAATATTTAAAATAAATCCCCAATCTCTACCAGTATGAGAATTTTGGCATTTGCTCCCTAAGGTCTTCTCTCTTTACCTACCCTCTGAGAAGTAGGAAATTGAACATAAACTATTCATTATAATATAGATACTACTTAGGCAAAATATAATTTTTATAACCTTCATTCTTACTTGTTTACAGAGCCATAAACTAGAAAATCAGACTCACTTCCAACACCCATCTGTCACATCTTCTCTTTCACAAATTGCCAATAGTTCTCCCTGATGTTACTATTTATTATTTAAAACTAACAGAAAGCCAACATTTTAATCTATTGAATAATGTATTATATTATTTTGTTTTATGTAAAGTAAATTGTTTATTTCACCTCCAGTTTGACACTTCTTCTAATAGTATTCATATTGACAAGCTTAGATGAATTTTTAATGGCCCTTATTGCCTATTTAAAAAGCCAGAACAATTATAACAGTCATAGGACACTGTTTGCTTTGTGTGTGTTATTATTCTGTGTTCTTAAGTGCATTATTCAATTAAATAACAATTACTTAGTGTAGTAGTACCATTAGTATAAAAGGGTAGGCTTAAGTTTCATCAAAGGTTGGCAACCAAAAGAAGAGGACCCAGTTAAGTACTATATTTCTTGTTTTTCATGTGTATTCTTTATTGACATTATTATAAAAGTAACTAATATGTAAAAACTAGAAACTTACTAGGTTAGATCAGGTAAGGTAATAGAATAATAATAATAATAACACGAGCAGCTCATGCATTATTTGATATGGTAACGCGAGATACATTCACCAAGTGATTTACAATTTGTGTGGTGGAGTTATTAGTTACACAAGGTTCAAAGGGCAATAAAAAAATAAAACTAAGTATAAAAAGATGTTTACTGTTACTAGATTTTAGGTATTTAGGACAAATATAGTTTCCTGTTACAATTTTAAGTAATTCTAGACAAAAAAGGTAATTTAGATTTATTTTGAATTTTATTTGGTGATTATGAGGTCAGCCAAATTAACGAACTTCACATAAAATTAGGATAGAGAAATTGATAAAATATAGCTTTACTAAAAAAACGAACGTCTGAACTTTATTTAGGGTGTTTTAGAGATACGCAAATGAAATTTCACAATTTTCAGATGAAGAGTATTTTTAATCTTAACATGAAAATCACCTTGCACTTGGAGCAGTCAACACTCTAACTTCTTATATTCATGGACAAATGTTTATTAAAATAATTAATTAAAAAATTAGATTTTTTGTGTACAAAAGACTTGTAATATTTACAGAAAGCTTGCCAGGTTTCATGAATATATGCCTAACATATTAAAAGTTATAGTATAGAAATTCTCATGGTCACATGAACTCTTTCAAATCAACTGAGTCCATAGTGATAGAGTTAATCCAGATATGTTGCATAGTTGGCATTTTTAGTAGATAATTTATTGTTTCTGTGCTAAATGAGATTTGTATCTCTTAAAGCTGAATCCAAAACATTTCATGAAGCACCAAAATTATTGGGGTGTGACTAGACCCATTATATCTTTTAGTGACCACCACTAATCAGTATTAAACTACTCTTACAATTAACACAACATTCATCTTAAACAAATTAATTTTCCTTAAGTTTTACAATAAATCTTAATAAAAAACTAACACTTTATTTATTTAAATGAAGTCTTAGTACAGTCTTGAGCACTTCATGGTCTAGATTTCTTGTGAAGAGCTGAATTATTTTAGTAGATGAACTGTTAGTCTTTCACACTGAAGGAACGAAAGATGTGGTTCATTGGACAAATTTCTTATCACACCACTTTCTTGCACTTTCAGATAAAGTTATTAATTTTAAACAAAAAAGCATATATGCATCAAGTGACAGCTGCAATGACATGTTTTAACACACCAACCAAGGAAATCTTTCAACTGCTATTACACAAATATATATATTTACATACAACTCTAGTGAAACCTTTTCTGAATAACTACAATTCTTAGAATATTAGAAAAGATGAAGTGGTATCATTAAGGCTTGATTTAAAATGTCTACTTAATAAAAGCTCCTTCATGTGCAATGTTCTTTGCTGAGTATAAATGCTGAGTTCTATCAACAGGTGTCTCATTACATGCTGTTAAAGTGTATATACTGGAAGAATTTTCTCCATTCAGTTTCATATGTTCTTTGAATGGAACAACAAGGTGGCATACAGCGTAACCAATATAACCCTATTTACAACATATACATGTAAATTTGTCAACAATGTATGGTCACCATAGTGGGAATCAAACCATAACAATACCTCTTCTCTGATGAAATAGTACACTATTCAAATACCTTACAAATTAGAATTTGCATCTTTCTATCTATTGAGCATTTGGTAAAAATTATTTTGAGTATATTTCTTTATTTTCAAAAAAATAAGTGTTGACAGCTAATTACTATAGTTTAAAGCTATTAATAATAAGCAAGGGATTGTTACTGAGAATTATATAAAGCAATCAATGTTGACACACTATTTAAAAATTGCTAATTGTTTTTGTTTTCATGTTGATTTTGTAATAACAATTTCAAGGTCTTGAATCACTTACCTAGCATTTCCTCAGCAAATACCGAAGCAAGACGAGCATCGCCAAGCATCACTGGGCAAATAGGATGGTCATCACCCTAGAATATATCATTCACAACTAAAATTAAATCATACTATTCACTGACTGTCAATCAATGATAACTTCAATATCAATAGTAAAAGATGATGATAAGTAGTTAGGGTTGAAAAATAAAGTGGATAAATCTTCAATATATCTGCAAGATAAGGCCACTAAACTTTTAATATCAGTGCCCCAGTAAAAAAGAATTAATTTCAATAATGATTTTAATGGATAAAAACTATATGCTACATACAGTATATCACCAATTATCCAGATTAATTGGGACCAAGGGTGGTCCAGATAATTCAACATTATTAAAAAAAATCATGTCTTAATCATAAAAATTTTTATTTTGAAATATATATATTTTACAATATCATTAATATATACAGTTAACACACAAAAAAATCATTTGAGCTGTAAGTAGCGAATGATTCTATTTATCCGTGTAATATGCACTCTAAACAACTGACTACATACCACTACAGTAAATTATTTACAACATGAAATGAGTGATTTACAGCTACTTAATAGAAGACCTTTTTGTTTGAGCTAAATCATGCAATCTTTTCAAACATAGCAGCTGAACAGAGTTTCAGTTTTTCTGCTCCTCTAACCATGTCCAAGCATTTGAAAGCCTCTACATGTGATGACCCCTCATAATCCTTATCATCATCTTCCTTATCCTCTTCTTGTACAACTTCAACAATCTACTCTTCTGTTAATAGCTGACAGCCAGGATCATCAGCATCACAGTTTATCCACTCTCTGACATCTTCTAACTCACAATCTGATTATCCAGGAATATATTTTAGTTCTACTGCTGTATCACTGACAATTCCTTCATCATCTCTGGCCTCCACTTTAGATGCAATTTTAAAAATTTTATTCCACGCCTTCTGGAGTGTAGTATTTTTTAAAGAATTCCAAGAATCAGCCACCATGTAACAACATTTTTCAATATCAAGATTTTTTTTAAATCCTACAATGCCTACTTGGTCAATGTTGTCATCAGCCAATAAAAGTCTTTAAAGGAATTGTTTCCCAACAGATGTTTAAGTGTTATAATCACTCTCTGATTCATTGGCTGTATTACAGAAGTCATGTTTGGTGGAAGAATATAACCTTGAGCATGCCATGATCATGATCTAGAAGTTCAGCTGAGGGATGGGACGGCACATTATCTAGAAGAAAAACCTTTTTACATTTTTTCAAATTTCTTTTGGTATTTTTTAACCTCAGGAATGAAGGATTTGTCATACCATTTCAGAAGAACTTGAATGCTCCTCCACACTTTATTCTGACTGCTATAAAAACAGGTAAAGTTTTCACATTCTTGGATGTTTGTTTTTATTTCCCAGTGAGTAGCAAAGGCAGCTGTGATTTCCAATGACATTAGTACATACCAAAATCGTCACTCTCACTTTAGACATTTTATAACCAGGCACAGTGACCTCTCTTCGTGATGCCAGTGATTTGTTTGGGAGAGTTTTACAGTTAAGCCTGGTTTCATCTGCATTATAGATGAAATGAGTATCATACTTTTCTTTGTGAATTAACATTTCTAGTTTGTTTACAAACTCTGAAAGTCAGCTGAAAGTTTTTCATCATGAATTTCCAGTACACATGTACTGTGTCATAACTTAAAGTTTCTTAGCCATCTTGAGATCCTTGAATTCTGAATTATCATCAAGTTTTTGTTAAACCTTACAGCCTTTTCACAAAGAACAGGAACTGAGATGGGCAGACTGAGTGACTTCTTTTGTAAAAAACATATGTAAACAGCACTGTCCACTTTCTCATTTCCTGGTGTTTTCATTGCTTTTAGCACTGAACTTCCATCCTCCTTTTACAAAAGAAAACAAATTAAGAATTGAATTACCATTTCTTTTAATGTCTGATATTTTTGAAGTTCCAACACCATATTTCTCTGCTAGCTTTTTAGGAGATTCACCTTTTGTAAACTTGTTCACTATGTCCAATTTGTTACTCAGAAACAACAAAAAAGTGTGTGTTTGGTAATTATTTTCACCCCAAAAAAGAGGAATTGTGATTAAAAAAAATTAAACACACATTTTTAACTTTAAGGAAACACAAAGCATGTCCATATTCAATTAAGCTAATGCTGCAATTGATGGTTCTGCTTAACATTTCTGTGGTTTTTACAAAGAAAATACTTACATGCATGTATATATATTTGATTTTGGCATTTTTGTCAGTTGTTAAAAAAATAGTGCAAACTAGTGATGACTGGACACGTTAAAAGAATAGATATGACCTTATTTTTATTCCAGTATTTTTTTATTTTTCAAGGTTTTGGTTATACACCTTTACCAAGAAACTCTACAACATAGTGATAACACTGCTATAACTCTAATTTATGGTTTCAAAATCTGTTCTATTCTTTTGTATGTAGTGCATGCAGGGAACCAAAATCAAATTATTTAGAATAATAATACATTACTGAATAGACAATGTACAGTTCTGAAAAAAAGAAAAAGACTTGTGAACAGACTGTTGAAAGAGCAGTGAAGTAAAAATAAACAAATCTCTTACTATATCCCTATTAAGTAATGAATTAAATTTGTGATTAAGAACAAGTGTACTGTTTAGAATATAAAATTAAACATGTAGAAAATGGTTATGAAACCTTGCTTAATAATCTCAGACAAAACTGTCAACAAAAACCTATCAGTGATTCTTCAGTTATAAAATAGGATGCCACAAAGGAAACCACTATAAAATCACACACACACACACATATATACATATATTTATATATATATATATATATATATATATATA